TTTAATATACCAAAATGGATTAAAATAAGCAAAATTGGATTAAAATAATAAGCGTTGCAACTTCTTTTAATTTTCTGTGAAAAATTGATTACTGAGCCAGTACTGGCACGATACTAGTACCAGTACAATGCCAGCACAGAAAAACGTGTAGATTGAAATTAGGAATACAGTGGAATCCGCTTAGTATGACTTCGCTTACAATGACCAACCGGTTATTATGTCGCACTTATAACAATATGTTTGGTCTGTGTATAAACTATATAGAATTTAGTCCGTTTATAATGACATCGGTTATAATGATAAACCGCTTACATTGACGTAGTTTTAAGTAAATCAATCAATTTATAATGACGAATTTCAATTAACAGTTGTATTTATTTTCGATATTTCTCTATTGTCTAGCATCACACTTAGCGTTTTATGAAACTGTTTTGATCCGTAGTTTTAAATTGTTAGTGATATTGTGAACAGTTTTAGTGAATTTGCTCTGAAAATGGCTTCACATCGAAAAGCTTTCACGATAGAAGAAAAAGGTGCAATTATCTGCAGGCTAGAAAACGGAGAATCAAATTCGTCGTTGGCCAAAGAATTTGGGGTTGGACATTCAACAATATCAATGATTAACAAAAACAAAACAAAAATTAAAAAAATCTTTTAATTCTAATGTATTGAAGTCGAAGAGACTTCGCAAGTGTACACGAGAAAATGTCGATAAGGCTTTAGTGCAGTGATTTAAACAAATAAGAAACCAAGGAATATATTTTTTAAACATTAATAAATAATAATATCGAATAATAAATAATATTATTTGCAATTTAGACAAAGAAACAAATAAACAAAGAATGCCTGATGCTGTAAATACTTCTTATTTTTACTGTGTTTTTATTTCATTTGCTTATAATGACGTCCGGTTAGTATGACCAAATTTTCATTCCCCTTCAATGTCATTATAACCGGATTCTACTGTATATTCTTGGTGTCTATTTAAGGATATTTATAAAAATAATATATATATATATATACACTTATTTAAATTTAGACAGTACTATCATTGAAAATTTTTAAAAAATATAACAGATTTTGTATTCGTGTACTTTTAAATTAAACATGACAATTGAAATAAAAAAATTTCACTTTTTATTCGTCAAGCTTGACATGGTAAGAGATAAAATTTCTTATATATATGTATACAATCTCTCGTCAAACAAGTGTGGCATAAACATACATGTTTAAATCCAACAATCTTATTTCTCACCGTGTACGAAATGCCACAACCATTTTACTCTTCCAAGTAACTTAGCAGATAAGATTTTGTGATTGAGATTTCATGTGTAGTTCAGGCAAAGAAGGAGAAAGGGGGGGGGGTAGGAAATTCTGTCTCTCTCTCTCTCTCTCTCTTTCTCTCTCTCTTGAGATTACTAACCTCGAGTGCCAACGTCAGGGACACTTTAGCGGTTTAACGAGATGGTCCCGTCAGTACTGATCTACGTTTAGATATTTTTCCCATCACTTTACCAATGTTCACTTCAACCTTATACCAAAAACACCCTTTTGCCTCTTCCCCCTCCCCCCCCTGCGTATATTTCAGAGGCTCAAAGTCAGAGCATATTTTTCTTGAAATTTGTCGCGATTATCTGTCCACAGGGATCTACCCTCTAGTTATAATTCTCGACTAGAGAAACTGTAAGTTTTCCTACCCTTTGACCCCTTATGACCCCCCCTCCCCCTCCTTTCTCTTTTTAGTATCCTCCCTACAATCCTTCTCGCTCCCCCAAGGCTGATATGAACGTTTAAATACTAAGTTGAGCTCCTAGAAACTCGTTGTGTCTGCCCAGAGGGGTTAAAATCAAGGAAGATTTGTGATTGAGGGGTGAGTCGTGTTCTTCGCACCCGTATAAGGAGAGACGGACGCGATTTTGCCCAGGAACTAAGGGAATTGGAGGGGGTGGGGGGGGGGAGGATGGTATAAGGGAATCACGTGGGCGCGATTTAGGGGTGAATTTCGTGCCGGATATCTAGCAGCGTGTCGCTTGTCAAGAAGGGTGTCTGCGGCATATATTCGAGTGCACATAGAGCACTTAAGGGACTCTCGATAAAGACTTAGCCAACGGAAGGCGATTTGATGCTACTGATTTTTATCGTTTATATATGGGGGGGGGTCTTGATTTTAAGGAGTTTTTTTTCTGGTACGGATTAGAAAAATGATTGCGTTTAGCACAGATGATTTTTTTTAGATATGAGATACGTTAGAAGATATAGGTAAAAAGAAATGTACTACGATTAGGAGATGATAAATAAGAGAGGTTTTTTTTTATCTTGATACCTCTTGATTTTATGTTTCAAATAATGGTATCATTTTTGGGATGTTTAAACATTAGGTTATCATCCAGTTGAGGGGAGTGCCTTATTTGTCGAATATTTCTGATATAAGGGATGAGAGGATGGTTGAATGTTTTTTGAAACCACTTATCTGTCTGACTATAACCGATTTTTACTACTTATATTCAAATTGGAAGTTATTACTGAGGCGCTATTCTGTAAGTTGACTGTATACTTTCACTTCACTTTCATTATCAGTTTTACTTGCCAAGTTGTAGTGAAGTGAAATTTATTAAGTTTCAATTTATAAATTTTTAAAAAGCATTAAAATTAAAGAAAATATCTTTTGAAATGAAAAAAAAAGAAACATCATTATCGTGTCGGAAAATTAGAGTTCTTTTGAAAAAGCATCAATTCTATTGGAAAATACTGAGACATGAAATAGGTCAGTGAAATCAAGGCCGAGTTTTTCATTATTTCGAATATTTCTAGCTTTCTACTTTCATGAGAATGATAGGCGACGGATGAAGGCAACAGTATCATTCATTCCTTTTAGCCTTAGGGTGTGACTCAATGAAAATGTAGACCTCTTTAATTTTACCCGATGCATGAGTGAACTTCTAAGGGAATTTTTTTTTTTTTTTACAAAACTTTTGCTACATAAATCCGTTGATTTCTATAATTACAAAAATTATATTGCCTTCATTATGTAATAATTATTATAAAAGTATAATTAAAAAAAAAGTAAATTAATTTATTTAAAATTTATTCTTTATTACCAGTTCATTTCAACAAAATGAAATGTTTATATCAGGACTTTTTTTTTTTTTGTTTATTGACTTTCATAAAATAGAGTGCCATTGGTTTTTCTTTTTTTTTTTTTACTCGGAATTTTGTCGCTTTTAATTTGAAAGAATGACTATTGAAGTTTTACATTTCACACCTGACTCGAATTTTTTGGGAATAAATACCACAACTGTATATTTCACATATACAATAACAAAAGAGAGAAGGGGAGAGAGAGAAAAAAAAAAGAACCAAGTGAGCGACATTAAATTGTACGTGATGTGATTGGTAAGGTTTTCCAAAAAACGATTCTCAATAACAATACCTTATCAGGTAATGAAATCAATGAATTTTATTTTCAAATAGAATTTTCCATTTTGCCAGAAAATGAAATCACGTTCAGGCAATTTAGTGTATAACCCCCCTCCCCCCTCTTTTTTTATATGCGAAAAATTAATTTTAATTTATTATATAAAAAAAAAAACAATTGCAAAAATTTTGATTTATCAAAAAATTATATATTTGTTTAAAGACTACTATTTGCAAAAGAAAAAAATAAAAAAAATATTGTTAAGCGATGTGAAATATATTTCTTTGATAGAGAAATAATTGCCATTCAGAGTTTGCAAAATGTGACTCTGAAAATGAAATTCAACGAATCTGTTATAGGTTAGGTCAGTGCGCTGACCACTGATATTCAGTGACATCGATTTTTGCGTTATGAACTTGTTCCGGTTATAATTCCATAAAAGCAATCGTAAAGGTTCAATCTGTTTCGACTGAGTTCTCTCTTTTTTTTCTCCCTCTCCCCTTCCAACATTTAAATTTAAAATTTATCCACTGGGATTATGAACCTAGAGTGAGGGGGGTATGGTAGCTGAAAAATTGATTCGATTGTTCGAGCGCAAACAAAAATATTCGGCTGGCCAAATACCAGAATATAACGATTCCAGCTTCTATATTATTCTTTTATATTTCTTTTTTCTTTTATCTCTTATTTTTTTTTTATTATTCGTTTTTACCAATCATCCACGGCTTTTTCTACTATTATATTCTGTAATTCCTTTTTTATTTTTAAACAGATGTTTCTTAGAATTATTTTATTAACTAGCGATGTATTCCTCGCTCGCTAACGCTCGCTCAGTTAAAATTGTACTTATTGTTGTTTACTTATTGTAGTTTATGTATATTATATATATATAATTTATGTTTTAAATTAATATCTTATTAATATTGTATAAAATTTATCTTAAAATTAAAAAAAGATGTTACATAAAAATAGTTTGTAAGATTTTCTAAAAGCATATATGCAAAGTATTTTGATTTATTTGAAAATAATTGAAAATAGATTTTTCAAGGACGGTGTCGAGGTCACGGTGTCGTTTTTCGAAATTTGTTAACTTAATATAATAGAAGATGTTTCGTTTTAAATTAAGAAATGTTAAAATTATTCAGTTAAAAACATTTGATTTTAATGACACTTAAAATTAGACACAATATTATAAGTTACTAACTAAAAATTGAAAAAACAACAATCAATAATAAAAAATAATAATAAAAAATTGAAAAAATCAAAAAATTCTTTAAAAATTGCAAAATAACCCTTTTTCGGGATAAAATTGCAAAATAACCCTTTTTCGGGTTAAAATTGAAAAATAACCCTTTTTCGGGTTAAAATTGAAAAAAGATGTTACATAAAAATAGTTTCTAAGATTTTCTAAAAGTATATATGCAAAGTATTTTGATTTATTTGAAAATAATTGAAAATAGATTTTTCAAGGACGGTGTCGTTTTTCGAAATTTGTTAATATATTAAGTTAAAAACATTTGATTTTAATGACACTTAAAATTAGACACAATATTATAGGTTACTAACTAAAAATTGAAAAAACAACAATAAATAATAAAAAATAATAATAAAAAATTGAACAAATTGAAAAATTCTTAAAAAAATTGCAAAATAACCCTTTTTCGGGATAAAATTGCAAAATAACCCTTTTTCGGGTTAAAATTGAAAAAAGATGTTACATAAAAATAGTTTGTAAGATTTTCTAAAAGCATATATGCAAAGTATTTTGATTTATTTGAAAATAATTGAAAATAGATTTTTCAAGGACGGTGTCGAGGTCACGGGGTCGGTGTCGTTTTTCGAAATTTGTTAACTTAATATAATAGAAGATTTTGAAATAGAAAAAGTTGCCGTAATAATTCATGTCAATATTGCAAATATTGCATGGCCATGTTGAGGCAATATTGCTGCAACATTCATTATGTCCTGCGGGAATATTGCACAGCAATATTTAGGCAAGATTGGGGGAGCAATGTTAGCTCAATATTGCCACTAAATATTGATGTGCAATATTCCCGTAGGGCAAAATGAATGTTGCAGCAATATTGCCTCAACATTGCCGTGCAATATTCGCAATATTGACATAAAAAATATTGTGGAAATTTGGGTGCTTTTTTTACATTTTATTTATTTAGAATATTTTTTTAACATTTTTTTTTTTTTAAAGAGAGGAAAAAAAAAGAAATTTTCATTAAAGTGACATTTTACGAGAGGATTTTTGAGCTTTACTTTTAAATGAGCTAGACAACAGACTCTTGGAAGGTAAAACAAGACAGAGCGTTGATATAACTCTTAATCGAGAGTTGCACTTTCGACCCTTTGTTGTATACGAAAGTAGAAGTGCGAGGTGAATTAATATTAATTAGGCCACAGGGGGGGCGTTATTATCAAATCAGCAAGTGGCTTGGAGTGTCTAGAAATACTAGAATGTTAACAAAAGTAGCGAAGGTAGGAATAAAGCATAAACACATTCCATGACTTCACACGAGTGTTGTATATATATATCATCTCTATAATACAAGTTTAGTGCTATACTCGAAAATGTCTGCAATTTTGACGAATGTTTCTCCAACAAAATTTTCATGAATTTCGGTTTTCTATTTGAATTTCCAACCAAGGGGAAAAGAAATATATTTACAAAAAAATAAATTCAAGCAAATATATTACGAAAACAAAAAATAAATTATTATTCTAATGAGAAAGTTTGAAAAAAAAATTATTGGGGAAGGAAAATAACCGAAATAATTGGCCATTATCGATATATATATATATATATATCCGGCAAAATGGGTAATTTTCGAGTTTTGTGTTTACAGTGTTTCGCAATTTCGATTTAAAGTTTGTCTCTCATTTTCGCGGGCTTTGCATTGGTATTAAAAGTTGGGTTTGAAACTCGGTTTATATAAAAGAACGGCAATAATGGGATGAAGTTTTCACATTCGCGTTTCCACGCACGAACCTTGGAGAAAATCAGAAGTCGATCGAGATGCGAGATACGATCTCACCTTTCCCACGAGAACCAGTGATTTTCCTTTCGCTTTCCTTCCATTTCCTGTCCTTTTCTTTCTTTATTCCTTTACCTTCTTTATTTTCTTTTCTCTCTCTCTCTCTCTCTCTCTCTCTCTCTCTCTCGCTCTCTTTTTTTCTCTCTCACTCTCTCTCTTTCTTTCTCCCTGTATCGGCTGATCTTCAAGACTGAATTCTGCTTCGACACGGCGCGACACGGCAATCTGAAAAATTACGATTTTATTCATGAAGCCTATCTGCTGAGATCGATCCTAAAAAGGAAGGACTCGACGAGCAAGCGGAGCGTTTGGACGATTCAATCTCAATCCGTTTTAAATTCAAACTATACCTTCAAAGCAGCCCCCAAAGTCATTTTTCACGGAAAAAACGATTTTCCGTCAAATACGCGAATCGCAGTGCAGTCATCAATGTTGTATATATGTATATATATATATATATATATAAAAAGCCGCTTTTGGACTGTGCTCGCGTTTCTGGTCTGTATTCACAAATTAAAGCTCGGTTACTTTTTTTTTCATTCATTTATTTATCGTATTGGATTTCAAAGGATTTTCCCTGATTTGTGAAATTAGAAACAAAAAGTTGGGGGAAAAGAGCCTCGGCAAAAAGTGCCCCTTTTTCGTACCTCTAATTTTGAAACTTTTTTTATGCCAAATGGTTACATATCATGACCCAATAATCCCTGCAAAATTTCAAGATGAGCATGTGCCCCCTTTCCGAAAATGGCGGATTTTACTTTAGATGGTTTTGTAATTATTACATCTGGCCTTTGCAAGCTGAATTTAGCCTTAAATCTTGCCTTTATTTGTTATATTAGATCTGCCATTTTGAATTTTTAAAAACGGACATCATATTCGTAATCAGAGACCCCAAAAACCCCCGAGTAACAAGTTTTAAGTCAATTGGATCGATTTTCAAAAATGTCGTCCGCCATATTGGATCCGCCATTTTGAATTTTTAAAAACGGACATCATATTCGTAATCAGCAGATGAAAATCTTAAGGGAACCATTTGGTCTGATTTTTTTTAATATTATTATTCGATTATATTGCATATTCTAATTTTGGACATGGCCCCCTTTGACCCCCTGTATTTCGGAAAGGGGGCACATGCTCATCTTGAAATTTTGCAGGGATTATTTGGTCATCATATGTAACCATTTGGCATAAAAAAAGTTTCAAAATTCGAGGTACGAAAAAGGGGCATTTATTGCATGGGGCTTGCCGAGGCTCTTTGTTTTTTTCTTTTTGACGTTATAAAATATTAATCTTGCGATTATCTTAAAATTATTAAAAAAAAAAAATAGAAAAATATTTAATTTAATGTATTTAAATATTTTGTTAAGTTGGAAAAATTGAATTCATTCTGACTGCAAATTATTTTTAAATTACAAGAATTCGAATTGTCTGACTGTAACTGATTTTTACTACTGAAATAAAGAGATTAAACGAATTTAAAGCGCTTCGCGTCTGACTAAATTTGATTTTGACTACTTATTCTCAGATTGGAAAAAATCGATGTCTGACTGAAACTGATTTTTACTACTAAAATAAATATTAATTGAATTTGAAACGTTCTGTTCTGAATTTTACTATTATTTCTGAGAGTTTATCATGTCTGACTATAATCTACGTTTACTACTGAAACACTACAAAAATATAGAATGGGTCTGAATGAAGTTGATTTTTACTACTGAACGAATATTGAATGAAATATAAAAAATGAAGCAATCTAAATAAATTAAAATATTCTATTCGTCTAAAATTGACTTTCACAATTTTTTAAGAATTAGTAAAAGTCTTAACTAATTTGAATTAATGACACACTTTTTGCTTTTGAATTACTTAAATTTTACTAAAACTATTTAAGAATATATTTTATACTTAAATTCAGTATATATTATTCTTAAAATAAGTATATATTTTTTATTATTAGAAATATATTACTAGTATATATTCTTATTAAAATATATTTCTAATATTAAGAGTATATTTTTATTTTAAGAATAGTATATACTTAATTTAAGTATAAAATATTTTTAAATAGGCGCCAAGGAGATATACTTTTTAGATTTACGTTTTTTTTTCGATGTTATATTAGGAAATAAATTTTTTAAAAAGTTATTTTTTCTTAAAAAAAAAAAGAAAAGAAAAGAAAAATTGTTCTTTAACGATTTTGCCCATCTTGAATGTGTCTGCGTTAAGTCCTGTGAGTCATCATATAGCTGACTGATTTAGACAAAGTAACCGGAAATTTTGAAAGTAATTTTGCTTCTCGACACTTTGGCAAGATTCGTCATAAGCTACCAGCAGGTGGAATTTATCATCAGCTGTTACACCATTCTTCTTTTGCCGGCTCTGTTTCCAAAGCGGTACTTCTCTCTTGCAACATCTGCGCGAGGACTTGTCAGTTTATGACGAGCGTGCCGCGCCACGATTGTGAGGACGGATGGAAGATAGATAAGCAAAATGATGAATGCCATGTAGCATTTATCACACACCCTTAGGAAAAAAAAGTCACTATTTTCCAACATGTCCCCCTTTCTTTTATTTTTTTACGATTTTTTTTTTTCATTTTCTTTTATGTTCTTTATATATAGTTGAATTTTGGTGTTCACTATTGGAATTAATATATAATACAAAAAAGGGGGGGAAAAAAAATTGTAAAATATTATTTTACTTTGTTCGAAATAATTATAATAATTTTTAATAATAAAATATAATTATTAAAAATATATATAGATAAATATTTGCATGGTAAATAATGAATATATTTTTTTCTGTTTCAGGTGAGTTAAATTTACTTTCAATGCGAAGGAGGAGGAGGTTCATTTTTTCTTTATCTAATTTTAAGAGGATTTAGCATATACTTTTTTAAGATCGAGGTAAATTTTATAAATTGTTTTTCTGTTTATATACGGTGAAAAAAATTATGTACTAATTTTAGAAATAATTTTCTTGGCGTCTATATTTAAGAATATTTCCCATGTTCTTTATTCTTAGTTTGATATTATTAAAATGAGAAACAATTCTTAAATTAAGAATTTTTTTTTCTCTCTGTAGAATATTTAATTTAAGAATTGTTTCTCATTTTAAGAATATCTAACTAGGAATAAAATATGCGGATGGAAAATAATCTTAAATAGACGCCAAGAAGATATTCTTAAAATTAGAATATAATTTTTTCAGACTAAGACTACTAAGGCGTTTTATTGACTGTCAAATAGTAAATACTAAAATTAGTGAAACGCTTTCCGCAAAAATTATTTAATTCTACACTGAAAAAACGGTATTCTAGTTTTAAGATTATTTTCTTAAAAAAATATTCTTAAAAATATTCTTAAAATATTCTAGTTTTAAGAATGTTATATTCTTACATAAATATTCTTAATAATATTCTTAAGCAGATTCTAACTTTAAGAATATTTTCTATGTACTAAATCTTCTTCTTCTTCTTCTTCTTAAAACAAGAATATGCGCTAGAATTGACGTGCTGCTAGCTTGTTCGCGTCGCCATTGACTAACGAGTCGTC